TGAACCACATGCAATGTTTAATTACTTCATATATTTTAGTTCATTTTTTAAAAGAGAGATTTCAAATGATAAAGGTGATCTTTTCCTGTTAGTTACAACAGCTTTAAGTTGCTATATTATCAAATTTTATGAATATGTTCCATTAAACCGTCTATATATGAAGGTAGTTCTGAATACTTTGACAACATCTTTGTCTAAACTAAAAAAGTATTCTATCTTTCCTTTCTTGCATATATTTGCCTGCCAATTGTTTATATATTTCAGTACGTATAGAGAAAACTAATGTACAAAACAAATATTTTTATTAAGGTATCTATTCTTGGCAGAAAGTACAGAACTTTTCTTATGGTTATGGAACATGACTGCAAATAAACATCATATTTTTTCAGTTTCACTTCAGTCAATAGCACATGATCTAACGCTTGACATGGCTAAAGAGAAGATTTATTGGCGAGTTTCAAACGGAAATATTTTTCTATGTTTACTACTCCCATAATGTAATAGATTTTGGAACTTCAGGAGGTCCAATGGCAGTATTTGGGGATTTCATTTACATCATGACTAGTGTTGGACGAAGTGTTGTTAGTGTCCATAACACAACAGATCAACGTACAAGACGTAAATACTTTCTTCCTGTAAACAACGGTGATCTTGATTTGGCTGTAGCTATACACAGTATCACTCCTGACTCAAACGGTAGTTAAATATTTACTTATTTGAAATAATAATCTAAGACTTGCAAAAACTCCCACGGTAATGTTAATAAAATGGAAAGACGTTAAAAAGTTCAAAGTTACATTGCCTTAGTAAACGGTTGTTCTTCCTTCCAAAATTATAGAAAATTTGTTGAACATTAAGTTCAAAGTGCAAAGTGTCTAATTTGGACATTTTTGCCGTTTGTCTATTCTTATCAAACTTCTTGGGTGTTAAATTTAAGTCTTTATTGTTTCTTACATCATTTAAACAATTACTTGGGCTTGAAATCAGTCTTAAATAAAAAAAATCATGAAAATAGATTGTAAGACAAAAACGTCCAAATTGAGCATGTTGTGCAGTGAGCTTAATGTTTATCAAATTTCTTAAAATTTCAGTATATTGCAAAACAGAGTTTAAACTTTTACATCTTTGGATTAAACTAGATTTGAAACTTTTCATTTTCTTTGTGCATGCTGTTCAAATTGAGGCGATTACGAAGTACTCTCATGGTTTTCGAGATTAATTTTTATTCATTTTACTTTAAATAAACAAGGCAAAGCCATGCCAAAATACATGAGCTTTGACACATTTTGTGAGAACTACTGATGAATTGATAATTTTCTGAACATTTTCAATTATCTAACTTCTTTAGTATATCCCTTATAGTGTCCCAAACAGCCAGCAAATTTGTTCATACTCTGTAAATTTTCAACATTTATTTAATTGTTTTGTTTTACGAAATGCGCGAACACCAAAATTACCAACATTGCATAACAAACTTGCTTGCTGGGTACGTCAACGTGGATACTGAGTGACAAATTGTGTTCTTTGAGGAAGAATATGTTTCGTTTAAAATCCCTGGTTAATTTTATTTTTAATTTTATTGATCGATATAGCGACAAGCACTTTTCACTTTCCTTTGTGTGGACCCAACACATACTATCGTAAAATTAATGGAACATTGAACTGCACGTGTATGGAAGGATACTTTGGAGAATGTAACTCGTGCAGGGTATGGATTTATTACTGTCTTTATCAAGATTTTTTATCACCGATCATGAATAAAGAGCATCTCTGTGCAGTTTTAAAACTTTGTTCTTTGTTGAGAATCCTGAGCTGTTCTCTGTGCTGTTGCTTCTGTGCAAGGAATTTGCTGCATCTACATTTTACATGTAACCACAAAAATAAGGCTCACAGCCACACATACAAGTTCATTATTATCAATACAATCAAGCAGGAAATCAGTAATAAATTTATGAAAAGCTTCAATACACTTAAAACTTCCTCAGCACACAACATTGAAAGTGTATGGTTCTCTAAATGACAATAGCATATGTTAACATTAACACATTTTGAGTTTCTCTACATTAAGGAGGGGTAGGGTTAGGGTTAGGGTAAGGGTTAAGGTTAAGTTTAACACTCCTCCTGAAGTTAGTAATCTAGCCATGGCCCTGCTAGTCTAGATACACCATATTAGACAGTCTTGAATTTATTATTAGTTGGCTTTCCTAAACTAAGAATTCTGTAAATACAAACTTTAAAAGCATTTTGACAGACATGCTTCCAGACAGGGGCTGCGGAAGTATCTCAAAAGTGGGGCACTGACCGAAAAGGGCATGTGAGTTTGCAGCTTACTGTTTTAGTATATTACAGATATGCATTGCTTCATGAATCATGATTAAGTTTCAAAGTCTGCAAAATATTGGTAGACATTCTTAGAATGCTATGCGTATTCTCTACTGCTCGGCGTGCGTGCTAACAAATTGAACTAAGATGACTACATGAACAATTTTATTAAGTAATGCGATCTCATTAAAATTTCCCAAAAAATCTAACCCTACGTTCGTTTTTCAGAACAAAGTTATTAGCTATTAAACGTAAGTCCAGTTCGTCAGTTCTGGCCTTGTTTACATGCATAACAATAAGATTATTGTAGCCTGCTGCCGTCATTGCGCTCTTGAGATGTGTCTTGACAAGCCACTGGCATGAAAAAGATCGTTCTGAAGAGGCTGCACTCATTTGAGCAAGAAGGTAAATCTGCAAGTGTCGAACAACATTAGACATTGCCATGACAATCTGCGATGAGTTATTTTCTTCAGTTGAGAACATTGATGTTATAATGTCAATTGATGTCACCTTCTTTACTTCTGGAAGTCGCTGCGAGATAACTCCTTCAAGAAGCTTTAACTCTGCCTTCAGCTGGTGAAAGTCGAGGTCATTTTCGTAAAGGTGTTCAACTTCATCATTCAACTCAAACTTACGCCCGTTTGCTGCATTAATGAGCACGGTTTCGATGTTCATCAATACAGAATATGTTTTTTGATCGAAGCGCTCCTGTAGTGAAGTCAAGCACGCACCAATTACTTAGTTGTTTTAGCAACATTCTTCTTCAAGTTTCCTGGGTTTTCTTCAATTCCCTGACCAATATCGCTCCAACATCTCTTCTCGAATCATCAGATAATAAAACTTTCTCAGTCGCCTCTGAGTGAAATTTAGACTGAGAGTGTTTTTTAAGCTTTTCTCCGCACTTCCTCCAGTCAATGAATTCTCCTAGGAGAAAAGCCTTTTCACCATTATGACTGAAAGTAATAAGGTCTTGACGCATCGCTCTTTTACAGAAGTAACAGGCAATGGTGCCTTTTGTCATGCAGTATGTGACCCATGTATATTTCAAAAATATAGAAGACGGCCAAGTTCGTACATTCGACGATCCTCCTGTACTGGTTCTTTCTAGACGTGTGCTTTATTTCTTCTAGGGTAGGATGGTAAGGATGTCGGCCTGTACAGCACAAACGCTTACAATCGAGTCCTAGCAAACATTCCGTTGACTCAATCTGCATAGGTCCTACCAATAGGGCGGTAGTCGTGGAACTTGGCAAAGACGCATACGTTAGGTTTTGAGAAGGTGTGTGAACTGGCTCGGTCGGTGGCGCGACTAGTATCTCTGAAGACGATGTAGAGTCAGAATCGCCGAATTTTGGTTTGGAATGAGAATGAGGAGATAAACACGTTGATGGAGTTTCTGTAGCTGACGGCAGTGTCAAATTAGACCTAGAGTCGATGTTTTGGTCAACAACGTTCTCTGCTGGAGCACTACTAAAAAAACTCGTCAGTTTTCGCATCCTTTTAGCTCTTTCTACAAGCACTTTTCCTTTTCTCGTTTTCGCCTAGCAGCTCTAGGCATGATGATTTTGATTAGAAGTGATTTAAACCGCAAAATTTTCAATTATTATGATTATGAATTGTCAACAGTTTTGTAGGACCAATGGCCTGAAAGACAATACGACGGGAGCAATGCGTTGCCGTAGAATTTATAGTCTCATGTGGATCATAAATTGCGACTTCTCATTGGTTAATTAAGTTACTGGGCGGACGTCTGCGAAGACAACCCCAATCGACAAACGCGATTTTTGATCTATCTGGGTAATCAAGATCAAAACTAAGCTATAGCTGATTTCGCATGATGCCGACAGACTATGTTCTACTCTCGGGCTACTTGTATCTAAGAAAAACTTCTTCTGTCCAATTTTGCCTAAAACAAGGGCATTTCTATACCATGAAAAGGGCACTTTCATTCCAGAAAAGGGCACATTTTTCCCTGTTGCAAAAGTGGGGGCACTTGCTAATGCCCAGTTCCGGCCTCTGCTTCCAGACCTCCTAGAATGAGTGCACCTCAATAATATTACATCAAATGTCTTCAACCAATGGATTGTAGCTTTATGAACTTATTCCAAGAACAGACAAATATGGCCGTTGTCCGATTACTCAGTAGGCTATGTAGGCTGAAGCTTACATTCCCGCGTTTTAAAGTCCTGTTCTCTTTAAACATAGTTTTTACTCTTTGCCATTCTAGATGAGATAAATGATCAAAATTTCAATAATATATCCTGTTGGAAACTGTACGATATACTATTATAATGCTCTATGTATAGAACTCATAAAGTAGTGAGTTTATCTCGTTCGAAATTTAAATTTATTCTATAATGTTTACACTATGAGTAACAAAACTGAAGCAAAGGCAATGGAGCATAAGAAACGGAAACGTCGTCAAAAGACTGAAATTTTTGGGAGAAAGTTATATCACTTAAAGTCCCACAAATTTTTCTAAGCTTACAGGCTGCGCAATTAGTCATCCGCCGCTTAGTATGGATGGTATGCACTGATAATGTTCATTCATAAATATCTTGTTAACTTCCGATGTAAGAAAATTAGGTTTTACTATTAAGAATTCACTTCCTTTAAAAACCTAAATAAGCAATATTTTTAAGAGGTACAATAAATAAGGTCAAAAATGTATGTAAATAATGGGTAATAACGTTTTCAGTAGATGGCATTAAATTTCTACTGGGTTTAATAAAATTTCAAATGACTTTCTTACTATTCAATTTAACGCTATTAGAGTTAGACTGGAATTTTCTATTCAGACATAAAAAATTTCATGTAAGCACATTACAATGAAATTGACTTTATATTCTGAAATTGAGTATATTGCAAAACAGCATCCCCACTTCAAATGTAATTCACAGTAGTCAATAATATCCATATCTTACATGCAATGCTTGTGTTCTGTACGTTTTCAGCCTGTGAAACATGAAACAAGCAATTTTAACAAATAATAATAATACCTAGTAATGATTTCATTCGCTTAAAACACTTTTCACAAAATTCAGTCGTTTATCCTATCATAACATAACCTTGAGAAACTGAATTTTTAACATTTTCAATTTAAATAGCCAAAGATTGCACTGAGGTACAAAATAATGGCAAGAACGAAAGTGGAGTTTATCAAATTGATCCTGATGGTCAAGGATCTTTTAATGTCTACTGTGACATGACTTCATATGGTGGTGGCTGGACTGTATTTCAAAGACGCCAGGATGGAAGTGTTGATTTCTATCGTGGGTGGAATGACTATAAAGAAGGTTTTGGTAATCTTAGTTCTGAATTTTGGCTTGGATTGGATAAAATATACCGACTAACATCTGCAAGGAGAAATAAACTTCGTGTCGACCTGGGAGACTGGTTAGGAAACAAAGCATATGCTGAATATGAATATTTTGCTGTAAAGAATGAAAGTAAAAAATATCAACTAAGTCTTGGTAAATATTCTGGTAAGTTAATACGTTAATATAAACGTTTGAGGAAAAATATTTTGATATATACAATATTTTTGAATGATATGAGTGATTACAGTTTGCAACGGGGATTCTCAAGTTTTGATAAAACGGATAGTAACGGTTGGTTTCGAACTAAAGCCTTGTTTGTCAATAAAAATATAATTAATTTTGAACTTAAAACTTACCGAAAAATACAACAAACAAACGTAAAAAAGTCGTTCCAATTTCGAACGATTCTGTTGCAAAGATTGATTGTGACATGTAATAATTGTGATTAACTTATCATCAACATTAAATGCAAATTCAACTGCAGCTTTGTAAATTACGTAATAACCTAGCACCTGAACAACATGTAGCTAATAAACACGACTAAATTATTTGGTACATAAGAAAAATCTATACTGTGAATATCATTGTCTAATGATCATTGACTGAAATCTTTTATAAAATGCAAGCATTCAAGTAAGCCCTAGTAAATAATTGTAAATGCAAGGTTCAATGCCTAAATGATATATACATTATAACTTGTTCTTACATGTAAAAGTTTTTTATGAACTTAACAACAACCTAAAACATAACAGAAATTTATTTAAGTTTACATGGACAATTCACATTTATAAGCATGAAACACAAATATATCAATTGAGCCTCGGAAAATACCCAGGTACGCCATGAAGTAAGGTCTGTTTCATACGTCAAACTTTACATACACCGAACAGAGCCCTCTATTTGTAAGAGTTGGGACATGTATTGTTCTCTGGTTTGCGAACGTTTACTGGACAATATCGATCACATGATTATTTTCCGCCATTTTGTTCCTAATTTTAAAATTTCAACTAGTGTTTATATGGCGATTATTATAAGTTTGTTTGTATTTTGAGAAAATATTTTGATTTTTTGGAGGTATGGCTACAATAATTGATTATTTGATAGCTAAAACATGTAACTGCATATCGCCATAATTATGGATCGAGAAAAAAGAAAGAAATGGCTTTACGATAGACTGGATTGTGCGTAGTGACCATTGTGTCTAACTGATCTTTATCTAAAGGTTTATTTACGAAGATTGTTTTCGAGTGAAAAATCATTGGAAATATTTCTCCTAATGCTAACGATTCAATAGTTTTCTTACATACAAAGCCTGTTCTTTATAGAAAGATTATGACTTATCATTATGTTCGGAAATTACTCTAATTTACAAGTTCTTAACCACTTCAAGAGATAATTATTGCTAATCCAATATGCTAAAATAATATACTTTCGAATATTGTATTTTGCATCTTTAGGAAATCCTTTGAAAGTATAGTATCAGTAATCATAAATAAAATATTTACTGAAACAGCTGGGTACAATACATTACTGGTAATGAAATACACATTCTGACTGTACTTCAAACCAGAGCATGTTCAATTTGTTTATCAATGATTTGTTCTGGTCTTTACATAATCAATGATTTGGTGTGGTCTTTGGTCTTTATAATTTGGAAAACATGCCGAAGTTTTGTCATTACTCAACTTAAAACTTGGTTTTAAGTTGAGTAATGACAAATTAAAACTTGGATCAGACTCATATACAATGTCAAAGTCTGTACAAACAGTGACATTTGTAGCAAACAAGACTGTTCTTCAACAGCAGAATTGTTTTATAATACACAAACATAATTTCCTTTTCAACAAATGCTTCACCAAATAGAAGCCTATACCGTTTTGCATTAGGGTTAAACTTTAACTATAATCTCAGTTTCACAATCAATAAGAAATCAACAACTTCACATTAGATTAATAGAACATAAGAGCTACTGCATCTAACAAATATTTTAAATTCATAATTTTCCAGCAAAAATTTTTTGTAATCTATCTGCATTAAATTTTTATGCCTGGATCACATTGCAAAATATCTACTACCTAAGCAAAATTTCACGACCACAGTGCTTCAAAACAAAACTTGGATAACACTGATTCAATGGTAGGCACAGTTTAAGTCAAAAAAAATTATAGCAGCTCAATTGTAAATTCAAAATACTTTTTGTTTTAGAGTAAGATTATTAGTGGTGAATTTCTAAAGAATATATTTTTACCAGTTGAGTCGCCTCTACGTTTTCTAAATGTAAATATAACCAAAAATGAGCTGCAGTGATTTATTTTTACATACCTTATACCTGCCAAAGCATTGATTCAAATCTGGAGATATGTATCGTAACGTGTTTTCCCGGCCAAGAATATGCAACCAAAATGTCGAGTGTTTTCTTTATCGCTGGTAAATTATAAGCAATGAAAACAAATATCTTGGTGCTGTTGGTGAAAACTGCGAGAATATACGTTCACATACGTAAAAACGTCTAACAGTGGATCACGATTAGTTTCAAAGCACGAACTAGTCAACATCGAATGTAGCTCAAATCCATGAAATTGAGTTTGGTTTGCAGTAATTATTCACAAAAACGCCAAAAGCTTGATTGTGGTTTCCGATATATTTAAAATTTCCATTAAACAAGGCGGAATTTTATTATTCTTTTGCTCATTAACCAATTTCACACAGTTTTATTACAAGTTTAACTTGCAAGTAATCACGAAACTGGCTGCTCCGCGCTCGCCCCAGACCCGTTGTCCTAACTCTTACAAATAGAGGGCTCTGGCACCGAACGCATTAAAGACAAAAGAACCATTGTCAAATGAAGACTGACTGAAGTCCTTTTTATATCTAAGCCTCTAATAATGAATTGTAAATGCAAATGTCAAAGCCTAAATGATATATACATTAAACTTGTGTTAATGGAAGTTCAAAAGAATTCTATAACTGCATTAAATGCGATTTTTGAAAGGTATTATTTTTCTTAGGAAATGCTGGAGATTCATTATCTTATCATAATGGCATGGCGTTTACAACAAAAGATTCAGATAATGATAAAAGTGGAAACTGTGCCATACTACAAAGGTGCTTGGTGGTATGTAGGTTGTTATGCTTCTAACCTGAATGGACACTACTATAGTGGCAACCAAAACAATTACAAAGGTGTGATTTGGAATACTTGGAAATATGATAATTCCTTAAAGTTCACTGAGATGAAAATAAAACCATAAAGAATTTCCAAAACTGTGATGTTATAAATTTGATCATTATTTCTAATGAAACTTTCAACATATAATAAAAACATTTTAGCTTTTATGTCTTTTAAAACAACCTTGATGAAATTGTTAAAAATGCGTTGGTGAAACAATACTTTTCTAATATTTTCCCTAAAAATTAGAGCTGATTTAGGTAATTATATGATTCTAATGTTACGTCATTTCACTCATTTTTTTAATGAGATGTTGCTCTGTAAAGACCGGTTTCCATATGATCGTTCCTGTCGTAAGGATCATCTTTGTCGCTTGCAATTTGTAGAAGCGACAGAGACGATCATATGCAAACGCTCAACTCAAACGACAAAAGCGATCCTTACGTTAGAAATGATCCTTGCGTATCGATCGTTTGAGATAGACTAGAGTTCTATCCTTGCGACAGAAACGACCGGAAACACCTTTTACGCGCTTGCATTTTTTTAATGGAAACCGGTGCAAAACGATCGTTACGAAGTAGCTAATTCTATCTTTTCGCCCGTTTCACGCAATCTTGATGTATCATGCATTTCATGCAATTATCTTACATCATTATTCACTATGTAAACAATGTAACTTTGATTGGTCAACTACCTGCAAATAATTCTACATATCTGTAGGTAAGACGTCTATTTACAAATAACATTTTGTCATGAAAAGCCGATTTTGAAAAAAATTCAAATCATTACCCATGTCGCATGTTCTTAATCGTCTGAAGCAAGACTTCTTGAATGGAGAACGTCGCATGTATGTGATGTAGGAGATCCTCTAAGCGTTCTTGTTGACGCCATATTTAATTTATATATGCACAATCTATATATCATCAACACACGACATGCACGACACACGTATGCCTTATGAAGTATGGAAATATAAGTCATTACGAAAATGAATACTGAAACAATACAAAGGCAGCTGATGAGGCAGGAACTACATTTGAAAAGTTAAGTGAGTTAGTATTTCTACCTACTTTTACTTGGAAGGGCAGGCTACTGCAGTACTCTCAGAATTGTGCGCACTAAAATCTCGTAATCCAAATCTGTGACCAAAACCTATTTCTAGTTTGAAGTATTAGCATACATATATTTTTGTTAAAGGTATTGTTGCCAATGAAGTGCCAGGCGGGAAGCGGATTCTCAATATAAATATTAGAGCCCAACATACAATTTTAAAAATCGTCATAAACAATTTGGTTTTATGAAAGGTACTGAAATTTGTCATCATGAAGTAAATGTAGTATTTGTAACATTTCCTATATAGGTGGAGGTTTGCACGTAAGTATTTCTCCAGATATTTTCTGACGCTTCTCACTACCTTATATGACAGATTAATAAAACGCACTCAAGATCGGTTGCATGGTTACTGCTGCGGATGGGATTTACTTTATAGTGATTTGATTCTATAAAATTTAAACACAAAATCCTTCTTGTAAACTTATAAGAAATCTTCGCAAAGTGTTACGTTGCTTTTACGTTTGTTCACAATGATAGTTCTCATTATGTACAAGTTTGATACTACATAAAGACATTATTGCTGACTAACATCTGTTCTAAACAAATCCACATGGAAAGAACTTAGTGCAAAGACCATGCATTTACACAAATATTTGTAGAAATAACGCACACTATATGCAAAAAGTTGATGAAGTGGTGGTTGCACATTTCTAAGATTGTTCGATGTAGAATGTTCCTTAAGATATGGTATTTTAAAAATAGCAAATGGTGTTTAGGATACAATACCACGGTACGACAATACAACAAGGTAAAGTCAAATTCAGTCACGTGATGTAAATCTAACGGTAAACAACACTATTTAACTGTTCATCTACTTACGAGATAACCAAAATTGATCGAGGATTTATAACTTTGAGAATTGAAAACATTGCCCAAAAGAAATGAAAGAAGAACAATCTATAGAAAGAGGAAAAACAAAACTGAATGATGTTGTTTCAGATTTTTTTTAAAACATACGTAAAATTAAAACATTTATT